GCCAAGGATCTTGAAGCTTTTCACCTACTCCACTGCGGCCCCATCGATGTGGATAAGGCCGTGCTCCCTCTGCTGTCTCCTGAAGTCCACGATCAGCTCCTTCATTTTGTTGACGTTGAGGGAGAGGTTATTTTCCTAGCAGACTTGATTGTGTGTTTTGGATCATTGTCTTGCTGCATGACCCAGCTACGCTTCAGCTTCAGCTCACAGTCGGATGGCGTGACATTCTCCTGTAGAATGCTCTGATACAGAGCAAAATTCCTGGTTCCTTCTATTAAGGCAAGTCGTCCAGGTCCTGAGGAAGCAAAGCATCCCCAAACCATCACACTACCACCGCCATGCTTGACCGTTGGTATGAGGTTCTTACTGTGGAATGCAGTGTTTGGTTTTCGCCAGGCATAATGGGACCCATGTTGTTCAAAAAGTTATACTTTTGAATCTTCTGTCCATAGAACATTCTTCCAAGAGTCTTCATGATCATCCAGGTGCTTCCAGGTGCTTTTTGGCAAACTTTGGATGACATGGGTCCCATTATGCCATTATGACCTGGACGATTTGCCTTAACAGAAGGAACCATGAATTTTTCTCTGTATCAGAGAATTCTACAGGAGAATTTCACGCCATCCGTCTGTGAGCTGAAGCTGAAGTGCAGCTGGGTCATGCAGCAAGACAATGATCAAAAACACACAATCAAGCATACATGAAAATGGCTAAAAAGTAACACATTTGACGTTTTGGAATGGCCTAGTCAATATCCAGACCTAATCCCAATTGAGATGTTGTGGCAGGACTTGAAGGGGGCAACTACTTTTTCACACAGGGAAATTGGTGTTGCATAACTTTGTTAATTAAATAAATAAAATAAGTATATTTTTTGTCATTGTTATTTCTAAACTCAGGTTTCCTTTATCTAATACTAAGTTTTGGTTGAAGATCTGATTACATTCAGTATCAAAAATATGCAAAAACAGAGAAAATCAGAAAGGGGGCAAATACTTTTTCACCACACTGTATATGTGTATGCAAGTGTGTCTGTGTGTAAGCACCCCTTGGAGAAGGCACAGCTCACAGACAATAGAGGTCATGATGTGGGGTAAACAAGGTAGCATGAGGAACCATCAGGTTGACCAACAGAAGTGTTTTAGGACCCATTTTTTGCATTTAATTTGCAGTGATAAAGAAGTAGCCCTAAGAACTAGGGTGCCCTTTCCATACTATGACCAAAATGTATGGGTGTGTGAATAAGCTAAATGTACAGGTGTAAATAAGCCTACATGACTAGTGACAAAGCCTACAGGACTAGTGAATAAGCCTACATGACTAGTGACAAAGCCTACAGGACTAGTGAATAAGCGTACATGACTAGTGAATAAGCGTACAGGACTAGTGAATAAGCGTACATGACTAGTGAATAAGCCTACATGACTAGTGACAAAGCCTACAGGACTAGTTAATAAGCCTACATGACTAGTGAATAAGCGTACAGGACTAGTTAATAAGCCTACATGACTAGTGAATAAGCGTACAGGACTAGTTAATAAGCCTACATGACTAGTGAATAAGCGTACAGGACTAGTTAATAAGCCTACATGACTAGTGAATAAGCGTACAGGACTAGTTAATAAGCCTACATGACTAGTGAATAAGCGTACAGGACTAGTTAATAAGCCTACATGACTAGTGAATAAGCCTACATGACTAGTGAATAAGCCTACATGACTAGTGAATAAGCGTACAGGACTAGTGAATAAGCGTACATGACTAGTGAATAAGCGTACAGGACTAGTGAATAAGCCTACATGACTAGTGAATAAGCGTACAGGACTAGTGAATAAGCGTACATGACTAGTGAATAAGCGTACAGGACTAGTGAATAAGCCTACATGACTAGTGAATAAGCCTTTCTAAAATGAATTGTGTGTGTCAGCATGCTTGTGTATGAGTAAATGAGAGATCTTGCACATGTTTGTGTGTGTGTGTGTGTGTGTGTGTGTGTGTGTGTGTGTGTGTGTGTGTCAGCACATTATTTCAACACACAGATTCATACCACTCAGATCTGATCAACATCAGAGGGAGGAGCCTAGGCCACTCCTGCTGGTTACAGGTTGTAACTCGACATCCTACCCAGGGTGCGTTGTACACCTGTGGCAGGAAGCCAGCTCCTGTGAATGTCTCTTTGTTCATCAGATTAGTAAACCAAGATGACAGCTGATTATACCACCGGAGAGGTCTGTTGTTTTAGTTATGGCTAGGGCCAGCCACCCTATCAGCCCACAGTACGACAGATAAGAGGTCTTCTAACTTCAACCAGCCCAATCGAAAAATTTTTTGTTGTTGTTGCTGAGACCCACTTAATGCTTTTAGGCCACCAAGTCAACAAAACCAATGGTTAGTCAGGAAGTAATCTGAAAGTAGTCTGAAATTGTAACCGGAAGGGAATCCTCCCCAACCCACCAGTCCCAACGCACTATTTAGGAAACTAGTCTGGCATCACTTAGCTGAAGGAGGAGGTGATTATAGGCTATAAGGGGCGTTCGCTGAGTGTTAGGCTTCAGGGAGTTTGTGTGTGGGAAAGTGTGTGAGATTTGAGTATGTTTTGGTGCTAGGCTTTGAGATGTGTGTGTGTGTAGTTGTGTGTGTTGGTACTAGGCTTTGAGATGTGTGTGCGTGTAGTTGTGTGTGTTGGTACTAGGCTTTGAGATATGTGTGTGTGTAGTTGTGTGTGTTGGTACTAGGCTTTGAGATGTGTGTGTGTAGTTGTGTGTGTTGGTACTAGGCTTTGAGATGTGTGTGCGTGTAGTTGTGTGTGTTGGTACTAGGCTTTGAGATATGTGTGTGTGTAGTTGTGTGTGTTGGTACTAGGCTTTGAGATGTGCGTGTGTAGTTGTGTGTGTTGGTACTAGGCTTTGAGATGTGTGTGTGTAGTTGTGTGTGTTGGTACTAGGCTTTGAGATGTGTGTGTGTGTGTGTAGTTGTGTGTGTTGGTACTAGGCGTAGGTCCTATTCTCCCCATTCTCCTCTCCCAGAGACAGGATGCAGCCAAGGCAGCTCCAACACATGTCAGTAAACACAATAACTACAGGAAGCAAGGGAGCACGGAGAGCTGGGAGGCCCACAATAGAGTAGAGGAAACGCAGGTTGTCCAAAGCTCCTCTCTCTCTGGCTCTGCTCTATATTTCTCCTAACCTCCTCTTACGTGTCTTTCTTTGTACCTCTCCTCGGTTCTCCTGTCTCAAATCTCTCTATTTACTCTGTTTCTCAGTCATCTTTCACCTGTCTCTCTCCGTTTACATCCACTCCTTCGCCTCTGCTCTCTCTACCTTCTCTCTTTCTCTCTCACTGCAGCTGTTGGTCCCGATGAGGCGTTATGTCACAGCCACCCCCCGCCAATCAGGTGCTGTTGTCGAGGGAGAACAGAGCAACAAAGCAGAGGAAAGAAAGTAGGAGGGGTGGAGAGGGGAGGAGGAAGGGTGGGAGTTGGTGTAGATTATGGGTGTGTTCCTCTGCCCAGACGTTGCTGACGCATGCCAGATCTTACTACACCTGGATAGGTACTGTATTTTACGTATCAGATAACCACAACATATGTTATAGCAATCTGTCAGTCAATGACGTGGCATATGACCATTGGTTGATGCATGCAACGTCCGAGCAGGGGAATGCGACCAAAAAACCCTGTAGTTAAAGGCCCTCCTCCTTGTGAACAGCGATGAGATCCAGATCACCATACCTCTGTGTTTAGTTTATTTTCCTGGCCTGAACAATCAACTCTTCAAGGAGCCTAGCCAAGCCCAGTGTTTATCATCATATTCCCCTGGACTGATTTCATAAGATGTAAACAACACACAGGTCCTTGACTGTGAGTCTTATATGAAATAGGTGAGGCCACATCCACCTTCTGCCACAACTACCACCACCACGAGAGTCGTGATAAAGGGGGGAATAGTTGGAGTGTGGCGGGGCTGGAATGCACTGATCCTGAGGAGAGAGGGCTGGGCTGGGTTGCTGCTTAGCCATCTGCCTCTTTGTGTGAGAGGCAGGCAGGCTGGAGGGTGTGGGCACAACAAGTAGCAACTCATAACAAATGAGAGAGGTGGAGACAGCCAGCGGTGGAATGCAACGATTCAACGGTGATGTCATGTTTCGTCTTCCCTCTATGTTATATTCCCAGTTTATTTTCCCACCCTTCTTTCTTTAGCCATGATTTGAGTTGTTTCATTAAAACATGCATGAATGAGTGAATTATCATTGACTAGAATCATTGAAGACTCATCTGTCTCTCCTGTTTCCTTGACCTATTATTACATTAAGATGCACTGTGTTCAGTGACGTTTTATGGTGTGTTACTGTCTTTGTCTTGTTAAAAAAAGAAAATACTTTAAAAAATGTACATTATGCTGCGAACAAAACATCTCATAGGAGAGACTTAAGTCAGTAAAGATACTCAAAGACAAGAAGCTAATCTTTCTGAAAGAAGGAAAATACAATAGCTGACAGGTCTTCCTCAAAAACATTTTCTTTGTTGAGGGTATTTTAGGTGTGAGTCTGCCCTCTGGTGGTGAAAAGACAATGATCAGATTAAAAATATTAGCCAGCAAAGCATTGTGAGAGATCCACGCACAGCAAAGGTAAAGCTATTTATTGACAAATGTACACCTCAGCAACTTCAGCATAGATCCAGATACACATCACAGCTTGATACCACTGATATTGGGCTCTGTAGTTTTGCAGTTCATTTCTTCAATGACGTAGACAAGCTAACCTTTAGCTCCTCAGACGGAAAGTCTACCTCTGTAAACAGTTTCACAAGTGTTTCAGTTGAAAGAATCCATCTGTTCAAGAGAACTCTCCAAACCAAAACTTCAGAGTTTTAGAGCTCCGTGAGTAGACGCAGAAGTAAACAGTACTGGTTCTGGAAAACTCCTTGCAGTCAGAGAAATACAAAACCAAAACAAACGTTCTTGTATCATGATATGCCATTTAGCAGACGCTTTTATCCATTATTGTATCATGATTATGAAGACTAGAGGTCAAATCTAAACTGGAACTAGCTTTAGTGCGGGTGCTGCTTCTCAGAAGCAGCAGGATGAGTATGCTAAAACAAACAAACAAAGAATGATCTGCTCATGCTCACATCTGAACATTCTTAACCCAGTCTCCATGACAACGGCTTCTCTCTCTCTGATTGGTTCTGAGTTCCGAGATAGGAGTCCCGCTCACTCTGTGTTTGTGGCAGGAGACAGGGCTCCAGGAGTGGGTGGAGCTGGTTGGCGCTAAGGGGAGCAGGTGCTGTGTTGTACCCTGGGAAAGATGCTCTGTTTGGGGGTAGGTGTGTCTCAGCAGCCCTCCTCTCATGTTTCCTCATCCTGAACCAGCCCTCCCTGCTGGATGGCAGCTGTCGCCATGCTGATGGCCTCCTCTAACGTCTGCTGCTCCTCCAGCTACACACACACACACACACACACACACAGTATTAACAATCAGTGTAATGCTCAGAGTGCCACTTGACAGGTTGTTAATCTCGGTGTGTGTACTCTGTACTGACCTGAACAGCAATCTGGGTGCCGTTAGCTGTGGCCAGCAGCGCCACCTGCTGGTAGTGAGGGCCAGAGCCCTGCGAGCCGCCTGTCATAATACCCTCCGATGTCACTATGGCAACCTGGAGAGGAAAGACAAACCACCAATAACATGATGATCCACTTTACAGTACAAACACTGACAGCAAGAGCAAATACTGCTTCACACAGATAGCTTCGTGTGGGCTAAGGTGTGTGTGTGTGCAACATACCGGCTGCAGCTCCTTGCCCTCCCCTGTAACCATAGTGATGTGGTGGTGTCCCATGGCGGTCATGTCCGTCTGGTGGGTCGGCAGGGAAATGGTTGTGCCGTCCTGTGTTACCATGGTGATGGCCGTGCTGAGTGCCTGTAGGTCCTCTGTCGACAAACCCACCTGCCAGAACAGAACCGGTCAAAGTGAAGGACAGAGAACCAACCCTTTTTTATAATACAGTTCTAATAAATGCAACAGCTTGAGACTGTTTTGACAGCATGTACTAAACCGGAGCATGCTGCAATCAAAAGAATGGGAATGGAATGTTTCAGGAGTTGACTGCATCCACAAAGTCTTTGGTGGGACAGCTGAGAGCTTAAGCTCTTTTCTATCTAGATCACACAAGTTTAATTACTAGATAGGAAATTATTAACTACCTGAGAACCGATGATAACCTGGGAATCCGACCCATCCTCTTTCTGCACCGCCCCCTCCAGGAAGGAAGCCTGTGATTGGTCATCCATCGCTTCTGCAACCAATTAATGAATTAATACTGTTCAGTCCTTCAAGAGTAAATTCTGTCCTCATCTGGTGTTTGTTACATGAGTGTGTGTGTCTACATACCTTCCCCGTCCTCTGTGGCCTCAAAGTCTCCATGCGTGGTGCGTTTGTGCATTGCCAGCGTGGAGGTCTGTCTGTAGGTCTTGCCACAGTGGTTGCAGGTGTAAGGTTTGCAGTGTGTGTGAACCACATGGTGCTTGTACAGGCTGGAGTACTCTGTAAATCGCTTCCCACAACCAGGCACTGTACACAGGTAGGGCTTCTCTCCTAGAGGAGAGAGGGGGCAGAGAGGGAGATATAGAGCGAGGGAGGGAGCAGGGGAGAGAGAAAGAGTGGAGCACTTATTTAATGTCAATTATAAACTGGGTGGTTTGAGCCCTGAATGCTGATTGGCTGACAGCTGTGGTATATCAGACCGTATACCATGGGTATGACAAAACATTTATAATAGCAATAAGGCACCTCTGGGGTTTGTGCTATATGGCCAATAGTGCTGTGTCCAGGCACTCCGCATTGCGTTGTGCTTAAGAACTGTCCTTAGCCGTGGTATATTGGCCATACACCACACCTCCTCTGGCATTATTGCTTAAGTATCTAGTAATGTAACCTCTTACCTGTTTGTATTCTCATATGATTTTAGTAGTGTGTGTGTGTGTCTTACCTGTGTGTATTTTCATATGATTTTAGTAGTGTGTGTGTGTGTCTTACCTGTGTGTATTCTCATGTGGTTCTTGTAGTTGGTGGCACTGGCAAAGCCTCGTCCACAGGAGGGTTCAGGGCACATGTAGGGGCGCTCTCCCGTGTGTGTTCTGATGTGGACCTTCCTGATGTTAGAGGTGGTGAAGGAACGGCCACACCCCTCAAACGGACACTTAAACGGCTTCTCACCTGACAGAGGGAGAAGTGTAAGGGGGAGATATGGAGAGAAGGAATGAAAGACAGAGGGAGAGAAGGGGGATATTAGATATGGGGAAAGAGCATCTAAACATTGTCCCATCGAACAAAAAGAGGGAGGGAAACAAGGAGGGGAAGAGAGGCAGGAGAAAAACGAGGGAGAGAAAGAGAGAGGACTAGACAGTGGAGATATACGGAGAGATGAGGAGACTGAAGAAAAGAGAAAATGACAGAAAAATAGGAAAAGTAGTAGTGGGGGAAAGAAGCAGGGGGTCCTACTACCTGTGTGTGTCTTACTACCTGTGTGTGTCCTACTACCTGTGTGTGTCTTACTACCTGTGTGTGTCCTACTACCTGTGTGTGTCCTACTACCTGTGTGTGTCCTACTACCTGTGTGTCCTACTACCTGTGTGTCCTACTACCTGTGTGTGTCCTACTACCTGTGTGTGTCCTACTACCTGTGTGTGTCCTACTACCTGTGTGTCCTACTACCTGTGTGTGTCCTACTACCTGTGTGTGTCTTACTACCTGTGTGTGTCCTACTACCTGTGTGTCCTACTACCTGTGTGTGTCCTACTACCTGTGTGTGTCCTACTACCTGTGTGTGTCTTACTACCTGTGTGTGTCCTACTACCTGTGTGTGTCCTACTACCTGTGTCCTACTACCTGTGTGTGTCTTACTACCTGTGTGTGTCCTACTACCTGTGTGTCCTACTACCTGTGTGTCCTACTACCTGTGTGTGTGCGGACGTGTTTCTGGAGGTCTCCGGATGTTTTGAAGGCCTTGAAGCACATGTCTTCAGGACACTTGTATGGTTTCTCTCCAGTGTGTGTCCGCAGGTGACTCTTCAGCCCGTAACCCGTAGCGAATGCCTTTCCACACGTCAGCACATCACACCTGTATGGCCGGACACCCGTGTGAGCCCTCTCATGCACCTGACAAGACAGGGGCAACGTTAATATAACATGAATATCTTATCAAGTGGTAACAAATGTGTGTATGCGTCTGGTATCTTAAGGTGGTGTACTGTTGTGGAAGGTCAGTGTGTGTTGTGATGTAGAGGGTGTGTGTGTTGTGATGTAAAGGGTGTGTGTGTGTTGTGATGTAGAGGGTGTGTGTGTGTTGTGATGTAGAGGGTGTGTGTGTGTTGTGATGTAGAGGTTGTGTGTGTTGTGATGTAGAGGGTGTGTGTGTTGTGATGTAGAGGGTGTGTGTTGTGTTGTGATGTATTGGGTGTGTGTGTGTTGTGATGTAGAGGGTGTGTGTGTGGTACCTTGAGGTGGTGTGCTGTGGTGTAGAGACGTCCACAGCCCTCGTAGTCACAGCGGAATGTCTTCTCAGCCGTCTGCTGACCCTTAGGGGAACCCCATGACCCCATCACCTGTACAATAGGCTCTATGTCCTGGAGTCCATTGGTACTGCTCATGGTCTCATCCACCTCCACCTCAGACCCCGTCATCTAGGGAGAAAACAGGGGAGAACAGAGTTTGAGAGCATTATAATGATTAAAAGTCCTACATTGCTTATTCCACCACAACAAGTACAACTGCATAGTATCTGTGAGAGAGAGAACGAGACGTGGGGGGAAAAACAGAGCTTGCAAGAAAATTAACTGAGAAAGAATTCACACGAAACAGTGAGTGATAGAACACATGAGTGATACAACAGCAGAAAAAGAGAGAGAGAGACCTTGGCATAGTTCTCCAGGGTGGTGATGGTGTCTGCGTCCACAGTGTCGTCTGCAGCCAGCTCCTCCAGGGCACCCCCTGGCTGCAAAGTCAGGATGGTGCTGCCAGCCTGCAGGCCCGAGGGGTGGTGGATGTATGCTGTGCTGCCATCCTCCAGCTGCACCGCCTCCACCGCACTGGGATCATACCCGTCTGCAGGGGTTAGAAGTCAGAGGTTAGATGGTCCTGTTTGAAAATGTTTGAAATCACTTTCCTTCCATCCTTTGTAGAAGTAATAATAATTGATGTGTGATTGGACAATTAGAAAACAAGATGACGACCGCCTTATTGCTTCAATAAGCCAACCTTTACTAGAGTGGTGAATACAGCATCTAGTTAGATGTTAATATACCTTTGGGTGTGTGGTGGATGTATGCGGTGGTCCCGTCCTCGAGCTGCACTGCCTGTCCGTCCTCAAAGGGCAGGGGCTCTTGGGAGAGGACAGGAAAACAGCCAGCATCAGGAGCGAGACATGAGCTCACAGAAGACACAAATGGTTATTCACAAACCCTCCGGCAGACATGTTGTTCTGAGGGTGTAGACTGACCTTTCTGCTGTACGGTGACCTGGTGGATGTAGGCTGTAGTACCATCCTCCAACTGAATTGTATCGCCTTCCACTAGGTTGCCATCTGAATAAATCAGTATATTGTTGATATCAGTGGCAGCCATACATACTCTGGTGGACATGTGAATGTTAGCTTTGAGTTGTGCGTTTCATTATTTTTCAGTAGTGTGCGTGAATGTGTGGGTTTCTCACCTTTGATGGCTTGTTCAATGTAGGCAGTGGAGCCGTCACTGAGGGCAACAGTCTGCAATCCCAAACTCTCCATCCTTCTGCTCAGCTACAGATGCTCTATCTGACAATAAGAGAGGGAGACACACACACACTTAGCTACTGAAACAGTGGCAATCACAGACATTGAACTGCAGACATGCACACACACACACACACACAGGGCTACGGATACTCCACTGCCGAGACAGGCAGTTGCCTTGAGCTGACGCTCTTCTGCTACACACACACGCTATGGAGGATCCCCAGCAATCCTGTGTACTGCTGCATTGCATTGTTCATATTTATGTAGGCTAGCTATTGTCCTAACATCTTGCTCTGTAGCAAGGTTAGATTCCCTGGGTCAGCTGATGTGACCTCATTGCAGTGATGATGACCTAGGGGTTGTGTGGTAGCTTGATACGTCATAGAAGAGAAAGGGAGGCGAGTGATGTGTGTTCCCAAAATGTGGCTGGCATGGACCCTCAACCAGTGAATATTGCAAATTATAAAATGTGTATTATGTGTATGCACCTAGGTTAGGTTCAAGATGAGTCTATAGGGAGGACAGACTATTTTTACTGTCAATGGACATAGCTATCTGCTTATGATTAAGTTTAGAATATGGCATAAGCAGTTTGCCATCATTGGGTGCATTTCCATCCGGTTGTCACTGTGCCATTATTGAGTGCATTTCCATCAGGTTGTCACTTAGCTTAATAATGCAACGTTATACACTATATATACAAAAGTATGTGGACACCCCTTCAAATTAGTGGATTTGGTTATTTCAACCACACCCGTTGCGGACAGGTGTATAAAATCGAGCACACAGCCATGCAATCTCCATAGACGGTCGCAGTTGTAAATGAGAACTTGTTCTCAACTGGCTTAGCTGGTTAAATAAAGGTGAAATAAAAATAAAAATATATAAAAAAAATAGACAAACATTGGCAATAGAGTGGCCTTACTGAAGAGTTCAGTGACGTTCAACGTGGCACTGTCATAGGATGCCACCTTTCCAACAAGTACGTTTGTAAAATTTCTGCCCTGCTAGAGCTGCCCCGGTCAACTGTAAGTGCTGTTTTGAGAAGTGGAAACGTCTAGGAGCAACAAAGGCTCAGCCGCGAAGTGGTAGGCCATACAAGCTCACAGAACGGGACTGGCGAGTGCTGAAGCGGGTAAAAATCGTCTGTCCTCGGTTGCAACACTCACTACCGAGTTCCAAACTGCCTCTGGAAGCAACATCAGCACAAGAACTGATCGTTGGGAGCTTCATGAAATGGGTTTCCATGTCCGAGCAGCCGCACACAAGCCTAAGATCACCATGCGCAATGCCAAGCATCGGATGGAGTGGTGTAAGCTCGCCGCCATTGGACTCTGGAGCAGTGGAAACGCGTTCTCTGGAGTGATGAATCACACTTCACCATCGGACGAATCTGGGTTTGGCGGATGCCAGGAGAACGCTACCTGCCCCAATGCATAGTGCCAACTGTAAAGTTTGGTGGAGGAGGAATAATGATCTGGGGCTGTTTTCTATGGTTCGGACTAGGCCCCTTAGTTCTAGTGAAGGGACATCTTAACGCTGCTGCATACAATGACATTCTAGACGATTCTGTGCTTCCAACTTTGTGGCAACAGTTTGGGAAAGGCCATTTCCTGTTTCAGCATGACAATGCCCCCGTGCACAAAGCAAGGTCCATACAAAAATGGTTTGTCGAGATCGGTGTGGAAGAACTTGACTGGCCTGCACAGAGACCTGACCTCAACCCCATAGAACACCTTTAGGAAGAATTGGAACGCCGACTGCAATCCATGCCTAATCGCCCAACATCAGTGTCCGACCTCACTAATGCTTGTGACTAAATGGAAGCAAATCCCTGCAGCAATGTTCCAACATCTAGTGGAAAGCCTTCCCAGAAGAGTGGAGGCTGTTATAGCAACAAAGGGGACCAACTCCATATTAATGGCCATGATTTTGAAATAAGATCTTTGACGAGCAGGTGTCCACATACTTTTGGCCATATAGTGTACACTGAGTGTACAAAACACTAGGAACACCTGCTCTTTCCATAACAGATTGACCAGGTGAATGCTATGATCCCTCATTGATGTCACTTAAATCAGTGTCGATGAAGGGGAGGAGACGGGTTAAAGGATTTTTAAGCCTTGAGACCGGTTGTGTATGTGTGCCATTCAGAGGGTGAATGGGCAAGACAAAATATTTAAGTGTCTTTGAGTGTGTCAACTGCAATGCTGCTGGGTTTTTCACACTCAACAGTTTCCTGTGTTTATCAAGAATGGTCCACCACCCAAAGCACATCCAGCCAACTTGACACAACTTTGGGAAGCATTGGAGTCAACATGTTTTGTTCTGAGGACAAAGTGGGGTGCAACTCAATATTTGGAAGGCGTTCCTAATGTTTTATACACTCAGTGTATACTACAGGGACCACTACAACTAATTGTCACTATCGGTTTAAATGGGTTCTTTGTTGGGAATGAGGGATAGATTTGTGAATGGTTGAATTCACTATTCTACAGCTGGTTACTTTAGCGGACTAAACGCCATTCTGGGCAGACCACACAGCTAGTTTTCATTCGAGTCAATAATTACTGGGAATATAGTATAACATTATGCCATGAATCCTATAGCTAGCTAGTCAAGAATAAATGTGGACTCAAATAGTATATTTCAAATGGCAAGCTAACTGGTTAACCAACAAGCTAGGGGTCGAGTGACAGCTAGGTATCTAGCAAGCTAACGTCGCCATTACACTGAATGGCAAAGTTAGCTAGCAGCTGGCTGGCTTTTGGTGTTATGGCTAGCTTGAAAACTTAAAACACCTTTTCTTCGCCAACTAAGTCAAATATCATAAACATCCCTAATAGTAAATAGCTAACGCCCCAACATTGACTACGTTTGCAATATGTATTTTGACGTGACTAACTAGCTAACGTTAGATAAGGCGCACGGCAGTGGAAATACAACCAGGCCTCATTCACTACAACACGTTTGCGCTTGAATCAGACATTTGCAACGCAACCGGGTTACTCCCATCCGTAACGCCGATAATCGATCCCTAACAAAGCGTTTTCTATATCTTGATATTTCTTCTCAAACTCAAAAGAATTCCAGAAAATCACAAGCTCTTATTTTCCTCTCCCTATCCCCCATTTTTATATCCCATCTCTCCCTCGGCTTGACAAGTTGCAGCGCAAACTGGGATACTCACCTCCAGCAGACCGCCATGCACCAGTCACCACAGAAGCACCCGGGAACCTGAATGGTGTGAAAACGAGTTGGGTCATTACACCAGTCACCAGACTGATCTAGGGTCAGTTTTGTTTTACAGACCTCAAAGGCTAGGGTTTGATACCTGGGTGCGAAGGACTGGTTATAGATCATTTTTAGGATCAGCCATTTCTGAGGCAGGCTGCTTAGATGTGTAAAAGGCGAAAATAATCAAACTAACTTCTGGAAAATATGTATTTGTATTTGTATTTATTAGGGATCCCCATTAGCTGCTGCCTTCTTCCTAGGGTCCAAACATATTAAAGCATTTACATTACATATAAAACAAAATATAAAACAGTACATCATATGACATTTTTATACCACTACCTATCTACAATACAAAATGTTTAATACCACCATACAACAATATCACAATGTGTGCGTATGCATGTGTCTATACCCTTGTGTGTGTCTCTTCACAGTCCCGTTGTTCAATAAGGTGTATTTTTACCTGTTTTTAAAAAAAAAATCTGATTCTAATGCTTGCATCAGGCACCTGACCACACTACTGAACAGTAGTCTAGGTGCGACAAAACTAGGGCCTGTAGGACCTGCCTTGTTGATAGTGTTGTTAAGAAGGCAGAGCAGCGCTTAATTATGGACATACTTCTCCCCATCTTAGCTACTGTTGTATCAATATGCTTTGACCATGACAGTCTAGAATCCATGGTTACTCCAAGCAGTTTAGTCACCTCAACTTGCTCAATTTCCACATTATTCTTTACGAGATGTAGTTGAGGTTTAGGGTTTAGTGAATGATTTGACCCAAATACAATGCTTTAAGTTTTGGAAATATTCAGGACTAACTTATTCCTTGCCACTCATTCCGAAACTAACTGCAATTCTTTGTTAAGTGTTGCAGTTATTTCAGTTGCTATAGTAGCTGACATGTATAGTGTTGAGTCATCCGTATACATAGACACACTGGCTTTACTCAAAGCCAGTGGCATGTCGTTAGTAAAGATGGAAAAAAGCAAGGGGCCTAGACAGCTGCCCTGGGGAATTCCTGATTCTACCTGGATTATGTTTGAGAGGCTTCCATTAAAGAACACCCTCTGTGTTCTGTTAGACAAGTAACTCTTTATCCACATTATAGCAGGGGGTGTAAAGCCATAACACAAGTTTTTCCAGCAGCAGACTATGATCGATAATGTCAAAAGCCACACTGAAGTCTAAGAAAACAGCCCCCACAATCTTTTTATCATCAATTTCTCTCAGCCAATCATCAGTCATTTGTGTAAGTGCTTGTTGAATGTCCTTCTCTATAAGCATGCTGAAAGTTTGTTGTCAATTTGTTTACAGTAAAATAGCATTGTATCTGGTCAAACACAATTTTTTCCAATAGTTTATTAAGGGTTGGTTACAGGCTAATTGGTCGGCTATTTGAGCCAGTAAAGGGGGATTTATTATTCTTAGGTAGCGGAATGACTTTTGCTTCCCTCCAAGCCTGGGGGCACACACATTCTAGTAGGCTTAAATTGAAAATATGGCAGATAGGAGTGGCAATATCGTCCGCTATTATCCTCAGAAATGTTCCATCCAAGTTGTCAGACCCCGGTGGCTTGTCATTGTTAATAGACAACAATAATTTGTTCACCTCTTCCACACTCACTTTACGGAATTCAAAATTACAATGCTTGTCTTTCATAATTTGGTCAGATATACTTGGATGTGTAGTGTCAGCAATTTTTGCTGGCATGTCATGCCTAAATTTGCTAATCTTGCCAATGAAAAAATTATTAAAGTAGTTGGCAATATCAGTTGGTTTTGTGATGAATGAGCCATCTGATTCAATGAATGATGGAGCTGTTTGCCTTTTTCCCAAAAATTTCATTTAAGGTGCTCCAAAGCTTTTTACTATCATTCTTTATGTCATTTATCCTTGTTTCATAGTGTTGTTTCTTCTTCTTTTTATTCAATTTAATCACATGATTTCTCAATTTGCAATACGTTTGCCAATCGGTTGTGCAGCCAGACTTATTTGCCATTCCTTTTGCCTCATCCCTCTCAACCATACCATTTTTCAATTCCTCATCAATCCAAGGGGATTTAACAGTTTTTACAGTCATGCTTATTAGTAACTGGAATAAGCAATTTCATAAATGTGTCAAGTGCAGTGTCTGTTTGCTCCTCATTACACACCACGGACCAACATATATTCTTTACATCAACAATATAGGAATCACTACAAAACGTATTGTATGACCTCTTATTCACAATATTAGGCCCAGCTTTGGAACTTTGGTTTTCCTAGATATGGCTACTATATTGTGATCACTACATTCAATGGATTTGGATACTGCTTTCAAACAAATCTCTGCAGCATTAGTAAAGTAGCTACTTAGGAAAAAGCCCTGAAAGTACTGCATTTTTTGTTAATCTCTGCATGCATAACTGACAAGCAACACAGCACACAGAGTAGAGCAGAAAACTTTTATTTATAAACATTATATAAACCTTCAGCATCTGACAAGAGTGCATGAAATCAAACTATTTGATATAATGCACTCTGATTTTAAGATCCAACACAGAAATTATTGCACATTTTATAAGGTTTCATTTTGTCAAGGGATATCTGAAAATACAAGGGTCAAATCAGTGTTGATTTCCATGACACCTATTAGACACACACACACACACACCAAAACAAGTGTCTAATTCATGACTCACATTGCAATTTGATCATACAAAGCTATTATTCAAAGCCAATTTAAACAAGTTGAATTGTCTGCTTTCACCAAAGCAATCACATTTAAAGGTCCACTATGCAGAAATCGCTCAGCTATTTCCTGGTTGCTAAAATTCTAATAGTTTCAGTTTGTGACAAAACAAGCAACTATAGTGTAGAAAATCATTGTACCATCGAAACTGCTGTAAAATATATCTTCCATAACCACAAATATTGTATTTTCAACTGTTTGAATCTGGTGTACAAAACCAAAAGTAAAAGACGCAAAAACAAAACGTAAGAACGGGAAGCATATAAATAGTGCACATAACAGCTCTACTACCGATTCTTAGACTTGCTTTCAATGAGAATGACAGATCTATAACTCACATTTCTATGTGAATTTGGTCATGTGGCCCAGAAAGTTACGTATTGCAGCTTTAAAGCCAGTGACATACATTACCCTGTTTTCATCACAAAGAAGCCTTGAACCACATATATATTTTGAGCAGCAAAGAAGACGTAATGATAAAGATATCTCACCCACCCAACTGGGCTTCAGAGTGAAGAGATAGAAAACCACCCAACTGGGTTTCAGACTGGATTATCCACCCAGAGAATTTACTCAAATAAGGACATTTTTGGCACTATCCCCAGAGTTCATATGAAGGGAATTGGATATGTGTCCTACCAAAGAACTGTTGCATCCACAGTATGTATATGCAATATGGCAGTAGTACATGCCAATACATCCGCAGTCATGAAGTCTAACAGTAATAACCACTGTTAATAGTTTAGGCTTCAATACAGTGGCTTGCACAAGTATTCACCTCCCTTGGCATTTTTCCTATTTTGTTGCCTTACAACCTGGAATTAAAATGGATTTTTGGGGGGTTTGTATCATTTGATTTACACAACATGCCCACCACTTTGAAGATGCAAAATATTTTTTCTTGTGAAACAAACATGAAATAAAGACCAAAAAAAGAAAAGAAAACTTGAGCGTGCATAACTATTCACCCCCCCAAAGTCAATACTTTGTAGAGGCACCTTTTGCAGCAATTACAGCTGCAAGTGTCTTGGGGTATGTCTCTATAACCTTGGCACATCTAGCCACTGGGATCTTTGCCCATTCTTCAAGGCAAAACTGCTCCTGCTCCTTCAAGTTGGATGGGTTCCGCTGGTGTAAAGCAATCTTTAAGTCATACCACAGATTCTCAATTAGATTGAGGTCTAGGCCATTCCAAGACATTTAAATGTTTCCCCTTAAACCACACAAGTGTTGCTTTAGCAGTATGCTTAGGGTCATTGTCCTGCTGGAAGGTTAACCTCTGTCCCAGTCTCAAATCTCTGGAAGACTGAAACAGGTTTCCCTCAAGAATTTCCCTGTATTTAGCGCCATCCACCATTCCTTCAATTCTGACCAGTTTCCCACAGCATGATGCTGCCACCACCATGCTTCACTGTGGGAATGGTGTTCTCAGGGTGATGAGAGGTGTTGGGTTTGCGCCAGACATAGCGTTTTCCTTGATGGCCAAAAAGCTCAATTTTAGTCTCATCTGACCAGAATACCTTCTTCCATATGTTTGGGGAGTCTCCCACATGCCTTTTTGGCGAACACCAAACATGTTTGCTTATTTTTTTCTTCAAGCAATGGCTTTTATCTGGCCACTTTTCCGTAAAGACTAGCTCTGTGGAGTGTATGGCTTAAAGTGGTCCTATGGACAGATACTCCAATCTCCGCTGTGGAGCTTTGCAGCTCCTTCAGGGTTATCTTTGGTCTCTTTGTTGCCTCTCTGATTAATGCCCTCCTCGCCTGGTCCATGAGTTTTGGTGGGCGGCCCTCTCTTGGCAGGTTTGTTGTGGTGCCATATTCTTTCCATTTTTTAGTAATGGATTTTATGGTGCTCCGTGGGATGTTCAAAGTTTCTGATATTTTTTTATAACCCAACCCTGATCTGTACTTCTCCACAACTTTGTCCCTGACCTGTTTGGAGAGCTCCTTGGTCTTCATGGTGCCCCTTGCTTAGTGGTGTTGCAGACTCTGGGGCCTTTCAGAACAGGTGTATATATACTGAGATCAAGTGACAGATTATGTGACACTTAGATTGCACACAGGTGGACATTAACTAATTATGTGACTTCTGAAGGTAATTGGTTGCACCAGATCTTATTTAGGGGCTTCATAGCAAAGGGGGTGAATACATATGCACGCACCACTTTTCCGTTATTTATTTTAGAGATTTTCTTTAACAAGTAATTTTTTTCATTACACTATTTTGTGTATGTCCATTACATGAAATGCAAATAAAAATCAATTTAAATTACAGGTTGTAATGCAACAAAATAGGAAAAACGCCAAGGTGGATGAATACCTTTGAAGGCACTTTACATGGACATCATTTGAACATGACACATTAAATATTGATAAAAGAAAGTAGCTCTGATAAAAAACAAAATCCCCTTCAAAATATACAGGTAACTGCCCAAATAAAGGAAACACCAACATAGTGCCTTCATAGGGTGTTGAGCCACCAGAACAGCTTCAATGCGCCTTGGCATAATTTCGACAAGTGTCTGGAACTATGCTCCTTTGACACCCTTCTTTCAAAGTCACTGACATCTCTTCTTCTAGCCATGGTAGCTAAATAATGGGCAACTGGGCAATTTTATACATGACTAAGCATGATGGGATGTTATTTGCTTAATTAACTCAGGAACCACAAATGCTTTCAATATACTTTGTATCCCTCATTTACTCAAGTGTTTCCTTTATTTTGGCAGTTACCAGTACATAATCACGTTGTTATTGATGCATTCAGAAAACCAAAGTGACAGGGAAGTCTAAAAACAGATTAACTTAAATGGTGACAATGTATAGCTTAACAACAAGGTCATAACCTGAAGATGTGTAAAATTGTGAATTCTGAGAGATTAAAACTGCATAAATATTATGTTGACATGACTATGTTGAGCAATAGAACTGGATAAAATCTCAGAACATCGACAGTGTGACACAACATCAAACACTGTGACATCGTCAACAAGTTCTGGATAGTTAAAGTGCTTACACGGGCGACTGGACGACAGGGAAAAAAGCATAGACAAAACAGTCAGTGAAAAGAACATTAACAAACAGCATTTAACTCCTGTTAAAATTATGGCACAAGCACTTACCGTCAACTATATATTAAAATACAATATCTGCACTTTCAGTTATCAAAAGCAATTCACCTTAAATGTATAAATCAATTTTATACATCCTCCTAACCAACTGTCATTGTTACACTAGCAGCGACATTTTGAACTTAGATGATGAATACAGGCCAGTTTAAGAGTGAGTAGATGAGGGAGGGCAGCATCACAAAACTGTCCTATTGTACCAGTGTGATTTGATCACAACTAAAATACATAACCGAAAACATCTTGAACATTCCAACTGAACACAGCATAGAGGCAAAGGCCTTCTGATGTTCCAAAAAAATTTGATCAGTCACTCTCTCCATTTCTCCTCTTTGGGCTTGATACACACCTCTTGATCTGTGAGGCGAACAGTCAAGAGTGGGAGAACGTTCCAGCCTTTTCCTCACCGACACACACCTCCCAGCCTGAGAGTGGTCCCTCCCTGCTTATAACCATCCAGTTGTCGCAGATCTGTGACGGGATATCAACGAAGAGGCACAGGTAGGGGCTAGAGATGAGTTTGGTATTAGGCCAGAGAGGGGTAAGGGTTAGGGATTGGTTTGGTATTAGGCAAGAGAACGGTAGGGGCTAGGGATGCTTGTAGTATTAGGGGAATCTCTTCAGTCTCTTTTGTGCCTGTGGAAAGTGTACTTTACCAGACCTAGAGGAGGGCGAGACTAGCCTGCAATGGACAGTTAAAAGGTCCAATCACAGGAAGGGATATATTCTCAGCAAGTAGGATGAAGTCTGGACTGGGGTGAGGGTTTAAGAGTTCTGGATGGCAAGTCCAAACCCTCCATCCTCCTCCCCTTTACTCTCTCCCTCTTCCTCCAATTCTGTCTCGTTCAGTTGTTTCTCTCCTCCCTCAGAAAGCTGAGCCGTCACAAACAATGTTCTGGTCTCGGCCGGGGAACAGCTCCATCTGCCAGTAGCGCGGGTCAGCATACACTGGCAGGATCAAAGTACAAAGGTCACAATCAGGTCAAACTAAATGCAAACTTGTATAGGTCTAAAATCAAGCTTTTGTTACAGCCTAGCACAAACACATCTGATTCAAATAATAATCACAGTATACTTACACAGTATACTAGCATACGTGCGAGTGTGTGTGTTCGTTCTCACCCATATCTCCTGGTCCCAGCCAGAGGTTGAAGGAGCTACAGTGTTTTTGACAGCGGTGGACAGGGACCACTCGAACCGTGGGTAGCCCCTCTCCTACCACCAGCCAGCCCAGCACTCGCACCCCCTAAAACACACACAATACCACTAACAACACACTGCTGAATCACACCCAAAACCATAACAACAAACAGGCTTGTTTGTATATTTGGGCTGTGTTAGAGGCCAGACTCACTCTGCTCTGAGAGTTGGCACTATGCGTGACCAGGCAACGCTGCAGTGTTGTTCCAGCGCTGTCCAGTAGGGGGCATAGCTCAGCTTTGGGGAACAGCCACCTCAACACCTTCTCTCTGGCCCCAGATGCAAACCTCCTAGGGAATGGAGGGTGGAGGAGGTGGGGAGGCGAGAGGAGGGGATGTAGTCAGATGACAATAACAGACAAAAATGCGTCCTTGTTTTCTTCCTTCCTTGAGACCTGTTTTCTAAATTACCAAGTCATGCTCATTACAGTGCATTCAGAAAGTATTCAGACCCCTTGACCTTTTCCACATTTTGTTATGTTACAGCCTTATTTTAAAATGGATTCAATTGTATTTTCCCCTCATCAATCTACACACAATACCCCATAATGACAAAGCAAATTTAAAAAAAATAAAAAACGGAAATATCACATTTACACAAGTACTCAGACCCATTACTCAGTACTTTGTTGAAGCACCTTTGGCAGCGATTACAGCCTCAAGTATTTTTGGGTATGACGCCACAAGCTTGGGACAACTGTATTTGGGGGAGTTTCTACCATTCTTCTCTGCAGATCCTCTCAAGCTCTGTCAGGTTGGATGGGGAGCGTTAATGCACAGCTATTTTCAGATGTTTGATCTGGTTCAAGTCCGGGCTCTAGCTGGGCCACTCAAGGACATTCTTGTGCCGAAGCCACTCCTGCGTTGTCTTGGCTGTGTGCTTAGGGTCGTTGTCCTGTTGGAAGGTGAACCTTCACCCCAGTCTGAGGTCCTGAGCGCTCTGGAGCAGATTTTCATCAAGGACCTCTCTGTACTTTGCTCCGTTCATCTTTTCCTCGATCCTGACTAGTCTCCCAGTCCCTGCTGCTGAACAACATCCCCACAGTATGATGCTGCCACCCCCATGCTTCAACGTAGGGATGGTGCCAGGTTTCCTCCAGACGTGATGCTTGGCATTCAGGCCAAAGAGTTCAATCTTGGTTTCATCAGACCAGAGAATCTTGTTTCTCATGGTCTGAGAGTCCTTTAGGTGCCTTTTGGCAAACTCCAAGTGGGCTGTCATGTGCCTTTTATTGAGGAGTGGCTTCTGTCTGGCCACAGAGGAACTGACCAAGGCCCTTCTCCCCCGATTGTTCAGTTTGGCCGGGCGGCCAGCTCTAGGAAGTCTTGGTGGTTCCAAACTTCTTCAATTTAAGAATGTTGGAGACAACTGTGTTCTTGGGGACCTTCAATTCTGCAGAAATGTTTTGGCACCCTTCCCCAGATCTGTGCCTCGACACAATCCTGTCTCGGAGCTCTACGGACAATTCCTTCGACCTCAAAGTTTGGTTTTTGCTCTCACTTGCACTGTCAACTGTGGGACCTTATATAGACAGGTGTGTTTGCCTTTCCAAATCATGTCCAATCAATTGAATTTTCCACAGGTGGACTCAAATCAAGTTGTCGAAACAGCTCAAGGATGATCAATGGAAACAGGATGCTCCGGAGGTCAATGTTTAGTCTCATAGCAAAGGGTCTGAATACTGTAAATATTTTATTTTTAATACATTAGTTCAGGGCTCTAACGCTGAATGTTTTTACAAGGAGTACATAAGTTGATATTTATGAGCACACAAATAAATTCAGGAGCACAATTAAATTATGTGAGTGTTTTAATGATAAGACATGACTAAACGTTTATGAATAAAAAGGTATTTGCAGTGTTCCACGCTCAATCAAGCACAATGTACCCCCAAATATTTGAGTCATTAGGTGACACAAAAATGTTCAGCTGCTTGCTTGAGAATTACTGTGGTAACAGCACTCAGTGTCTGTCAGAGATGAGATTGAGAATCTCTGTGTCAGACAGTTGCAGCAAACTCAAATGAATATTGAAAAACAACCTAGCGTGTGAACAACTAGCCAAGAAACACGAGGACAAAGCCACACTTTAGTAGCCTTTCAGGTCAATTTGACCAACTTCTACATTTGGGCTTTGGTTTGAAAAAAACTGTTCCCAAAAGCTGTGTGTGACCAGCCGCCAACGTGGCTGGTGATATTTTTACCCTAATTTCCCACCCTGATGAGCGTCTGCTAAATGACTAAAACGTCAAATGTAATGTAAATGTACCAGAGCAGGGTAAAGTTTGCAGGGCCCTGTGGAAAACCCTCATCATGTGACAGTAGGTTGTCTTCCTCCAGTAGTATACTCATGGAGCTGGAGTGGGCTGAATAGAGCTCCTCTAGCTGCTGCCTCTGCAGACACAGAGACTCCCCACCCTACACAGAGACAGAGGACATATGTCAGGCACAGCCACAGACAAGACTAACTGCTGATATTAGCTAAATGAACTAGCTCAATAAAGATCATTCTGTGGTGGATCTGTAAACGATGAGCAAACTGGACCCTCACTTTCAGGGAAATTGTTGTTTTTCAGTCTAAACTTCAATGAGTGTCTTTCTCTTTCTCTATTGTTAGTGGTGGTCATACCTTGACCAGCACAGGCTGTGGTCCTCTGCGCATGACTGCAGACTCTCTGAGGGTCTCAGGGACCTCCAGCACAGAGGATACCTCAGCACAGCCAGAACAGTTGACCAGGCCCTGTCGCAGAGCCCCTGCACTCCACCACTCATGGAAACCTATAGGAGAGAGACAGTAGGGAAACTGCTGTTACACACACTGGCTAGGAACAAAGACCCATTGTCTATAGTGAACAACTAGGGATAGTGTCTAAAATAGTGTTTTCCCCTGTTACTGTACCTTGCAGGTTGTATTTCTTGGCAATGGGCAGAGTCAGCAGTCTGATGTGGCTGAGGGGGGAGGACCAGTTATGTCCCCCTGTGTACGTCACACCTAGCTGGGGCCGAGTCTGGGGGTAGGTGAAGGCCAGCACCACCACCAACAGAAAGCCTACTGCTACAACAAACTACAGGATGGAGAGAAGAGGAACTAGTGAGAGGATGGTTCATCAATGCAGGGATTGACATTAAGGGTTGCCTTATTGCCCAGGGCAAGTGACCAGAGCAATCGCAGAAGTTGAGCCTGCTCTGTGGTTTCTCCATTGGGCAGGTGATTTTGTTTTATTGATAACAAACAAAATGCAAATAATTCCAGTAGTCTCTTCTTCCTGGTTCCTCCCTTGTAGGTGAAAATAGCCATCTAAGATTTTTCTGCAAGTGATCATAATCTTTGGGCAACCCAAAAATACTCCTGACTTGCCCGATGGGCGAGTGCCTTTTAGACAATCCCTGTGTATGATCTTACATGAGTGTGTGTGTGCATCTTACCTTGATGGTGGCTCGAAGGATGGGGAATTGTGGTGGGTCTCTTCGAGGCTCGTTGGTCTCCAAGACTTGTTTGATAAACTTCTCGATCTCCCTCTCTGACATGCCATAGCGATACCCCGACTGGCGGAGAATATCGATGCTCTCAGACAGCTTGTCGTAGATGCAAGGCTCACTCAGTGTGGTGCCCATGGCAACCAATATGTGGTCCAACTGATTTCAGTCAACAGTTCATTTTAGGGGGACAGTGCCTCTAGTCTTCGGGTTGCAGCTGTTCACTCATATTGTCTTTCCTGTATGAAGTTGAATAGGTTGGTAAGACAGCACTTTCAAAGTCCCAGACAGAATATACACAAACAATCCTGATTATATGGCTGAACTTGGCCTTGGACTGTGGTCAAAACAGACACCTTGTCAATGTCAACACATGCATTCAGAGGCCCATGTGAACTGTAAGCAATAAGTAGTCGTTATTTGCATGTGTGAATAACATCAATAAACAATTGAGGGAGGTTAAAAAAACGTTGGACAGAAGCTAAGCAGGCAGAGAACGTTACTAAGTTCAACTCGATGTCAATCTAACCATTGTAGATAGTTATGTTACTCTAACTTTCTCGTTTTACCATGATCATAAAGTGAGTGTGCCAGTGACAGCAGTGGGTTAAACAAATAAACAAAGCTAACGTTAGCTAGCTAATTGGCTAGGATCCTAACTTAGCGTTGCTTCTTTTAACAGGTATAGCTAGCTAGATTTCATAAGATCAAGTAAACGTCATATTTCAAACAGTGATCATGAACTCACCGTCATTATTTTATTTTTTACAGATCTATTGTCTCGTTCATATGTAGCTTCGTGTCGACCAAGCAACCTTTTCCCACCTTGCTGCTTGAGAATTTGCGGTCGTCACTAGTTACCACTGCCACAAAGTCATAAACCAACCCCGCCTATTTCTACAATTGATCTTCTAAAAATCAGATTTTAAACCTAACCTTAACCACACTGCTAACCGTATGCCTAACCCTAACCTTATATTAAACCCTAACCCAAATGTTTTTTAAAACAACTTTGTGGCTGTGGTAACTAGTGGAAACCAGAATTTGCCGATGTCACTTGACTTCGCTGTTGGACAGATTCACGTTTTGAGCCTCAACAGCAGATTCGTGTAGCAAAACTCAAGATTGATATTTAAAAAACAATATAATTTGTAAAATTATATGAATTAAAATTAGTCTCTATTTATACACTTGTTTTTCTTGTATTGGCAGTATTTTTTATTTTATTACATTTAAGAAATGTGTTGACGAATCTGCCTTGTCACAAAATGTAATATTTTGTGTAATATGCATCTTATCAACCCGCAGAGGGCGCATTTTCGTGAGTGAATTGCAACAACTAAGCTCGACCCGTTGAACCTCCTTTCACCAAAGCGCCCCTCTCAGCTCATTGTTTCGCGGATCAGTTGTGCGTGGATCTAAAACCCCACCCAATGAGGAAGGAAAGACGTGAAGCGAAGCAATACGGACCGCAAGAAAATAAGAGGCTTCAAAGCGATTGTCATTCAGTAAAGGCGTAAAATCAAAACACTGCCGTTTATATTGCGATCATTAAAGACTGAAACGGGCTACATCTTCGCATTCCTCCCTTCTGAGCGCCGTGGCGGTGAAGACAGCCAGTCAGCTGATATTTTGCTACCAGCTCCTAGTCGCTCTCTCAAGATGATAGCCCTGTTTAACAAGCTGTTGGACTGGTTCAAACAGCTATTTTGGAAGGAAGAGATGGAGTTGACACTGGTCGGTCTGCAGTATTCGGGAAAGACCACCTTCGTGAACGTGATAGCGGTAATTTCGCCGTTGACCTGCTCTGTGTCTGTCTTCATATCATATGTGCATCGATTTACGACGGGAATAGACCGTGGCACATAGTAGCGGTCCCGTGATTTGAAACGCCGCTCCTCCCTTTAATTGCTACAGTGTCGCAGTATTATTTATAATCAGGACCTTTTCGTCCTGGTCAGAAACAAATGGACTATATGTGTGTGGAGTGAATAATATCCAGATTTAATTGTGAATAGGACGGATGGTAGGCAAAATTAATTGGCCTATTTGAATTATTGAGGGATGGAGACTGGCTGGCTATTTCATCATATGATGTGCTCGCTAGTAATGATGACGACATCACAAGTGACATCTTGGTTTATGCTGTCATGAAATACGAGCATTACAACCTTGAAATGGGGCACTGTTATTTAATTGTACACCAGAGTTACACATAACCTAGATAATTATGTGCAGTGTAAAATGTTTTCAGGCTAAATCTGCTCAGGAATGTCCAAGCCAATGTCTTGGATTACGATGCTGAGACTGCTTACATGAATGTATGACAAGCAACTAGAAAAGGCCAAGACTAGGAACCAGAAAGGACCAAGGCCATTGGCTGTAGTAGCATAGTGTTCACGCTGCAGGATACACTTGGCCGTACAATATTTTATCTCAGTAGCCTAGATTACAGTTGGGCTGCTACATATATTAGCCTCAAATACATGCCGCCTCTTTGACTGTATTCATTGTATCACCCAGACCTCCTCATTTGTTACTACTTTGTGACAACAACATCCCTTCCACCTGCTCCATTGCAACACTGTATCAATCCTCTCACCAGACAGTCAGTGTGGGTCCTCATTTGACTTCTGTTGGCTTGATGAGGATTTGTGGGATTGTAGTGATATCCCTGCAGTGATATCATAAAGTATGGTAGTAGGTTGATGGATGTATAATGGTTTGTAAATTCTACAGGTTTAGGAATGGTATGTTGAATGAAAAGGAAATGATTACCCTATCTTTATTGTTAGAATTTGTGTTAATACTGTAGATGTGTGTGTTCACCCCGCTACCGGTGCTGATGAGTATTCCCTCTGAGAACACACATAAAACCAGGCTGTGCAGAAGAAGGTCATCTGTGGATAAATTCACACCTTACAGTCAGAGCACATAAATTAAACCTGGACCTCGTCTCCTTGCATCTGCCTGCTCCAGCTGAGCCCAATCACCCAGCCACATCCCAAGCCCTGCCTCAGACCCTGCCCAGTCCCAGCTGAGCCCAATCCCCCAGCCACATCCCAAGCCCTGCCTCAGACCCTGCCCAGTCCCAGCTGAGCCCAATCCCCCAGCCACATCCCAAGCCCTGCCTCAGACCCTGCCCAGTCCCAGCTGAGCCCAATCCCCCAGCCACATCCCAAGCCCTGCCTCAGACCCTGCCCAGTCCCAGCTGAGCCCAATCCCCCAGCCACATCCCAAGCCCTGCCTCAGACCCTGCCCAGTCCCAGCTGAGCCCAATCACCAAGCCACATCCCAAGCCCTGCCTCAGACCCTGCCCAGTCCCAGCTGAGCCCAATCCCCCAGCCACATCCCAAGCCCTGCCTCAGACCCTGCCCAGTCCCAGCTGAGCCCAATCACCCAGCCACATCCCAAGCCCTGCCTCAGACCCTGCCCAGTCCCAGCTGAGCCCAATCACCCAGCCACATCCCCAGACCCTGCCTCAGACCCTGCCCTTGCTCTAGCCCCACCTGAGCCCAATCACCATCCTCCTCCCCTCCTCCAGCCCATCCCCAGCCTCAACCATTACCCAGCCCCTGCTCCATCCACAGCCCCAGGTCCAGCCCATCCCCAGCCTCAGCCCATTACCCAGCCCCATTCTCTGCCCCTTCCCCAGCCTCAGCCCATTACCCGGCCCCATCCCCAGGCCCACTGTTTAGTTCATGGCTTTCAAATTCACTGTCTGGGGGTCATATCCGTCTGGTTTCACAGACAGTCCAATACCTAAGTTACTGATCCTTATGGTGTTTCTGTTGAGCTGCCACAGATGGCAGTGATTGGGGTTGTGCTGTCTTGTTGGAGGAGTGAGAATGAGAAGGCTGTTGGCTCGGCCCTGGCTCTGGCTCCCAACGGAGTCCTAGACAGGGATTTGGGAAGACCGTGACTTAGTGACTCGTCCTTGTTTGTCAGATCCTCCCATCTGGGCGTTTTGGTGTCTCATCCATCTCATAACAGTCCCAGTGAGCGGCAGTTAAGTGTCCTTTAGCAGTCTGCTTTTATTACACAACTGAAAGCCCAGAGGCTAACTTAGCCATTCTCTGAGCAGTAGGCAGAGTTAGTGGGTGACTGCAGTAGGACCACTTAGTGGGAATGTGTATCTTTAAAGGCGTTAACTTTTTGGGATGACACGTTCAGATAGAGATGTAATGTATAGAGTAGAAATGGTGTTCGGTTCCACTTAATAGAGAGGGGACCATATCAATTCTAGACATTACATTTCTATGTCCAGGTTGTTGTGAAAGCATTGAAGCAAACTCCCACTGATGCTCAGAAATCCATGTACAGATCTGTAGACTAGGCTATAGGCTATGTGTTTATAGTTAAATCAGATGGGGTAGATGCGGTGACATATCCCCAAGTAAAGCATGTGAGACTGGGACCCAGTGAACAGAGCTATATAAATGCAATATGTTATAGCTAGGGGCCTGAGTCTTTCCTAAGCATGTGACCTGACCAGGGAAAACTATAGGCACTTGTTCATAGACTCAGGTCACATGGTCAGGAAACTCTGGGCCCTGATTATATCATCATATCCAGACAATTACATCTGACTTAACAATGAGTTTCATGTGATGTTAATACCGTGTTGTGAGGACAATGGCCCTACTTCAGTGTTCTCCTGAGGATCAGAGGGATACACTGGGATGCTCTGAGATACTCTGGGATGCTCTGAGATACACTTAGATACTCTGGGATATTAAGGTCAGTTGTTGTTCAGTGGTTATGAAGGTGATACAAAGGCCTCATTTATTTCCTCCCAAGATAATATGGGGTCACTCCATGATCTAATCAATAGGTTGGCTGTAGGCTAATCCTATTGATCTTCTACATAGACTCCCAGGCTTGAGTTTATATATCCAGGAATGTTTGCCATTTGAAGAAATTGTAAAAAAAAAAAAAAAAAAAAAAAGTGATTTCTGTATCATTCAATTTGGACTGTTATGGAAGTTTACATTGAAATAAGGATTTAGGTCAAAACCACAGTTTTGATTGATTCCATGTGATCTTTTAGCACAATATTTTTGCATTAGGAAATATGCAGCTTTTGCATTAGGAAATACACAACAGATAACCTAAATCTTATCACATTGTGTCTGTTGATCCCAATTTTGATCCCAATTGATCATCAGGCTATTTATTATTTGAAATACACAAACAGGCTACACACACTTCAGATACACACAAGTGAATGGGGTAAATCCATTTAAATTCAATCACTTTTTGACAGCACCCCTTTTGATTTGAACGAAACCTGCTCAGAAAGTGACTGTGTAGCTTATACTCTGTTTTAAATCATCTGAGGTTTTTGTGTTGTCCCCACCATCAGTTGAGACACAACATGCTATTAAATACAGGGCGGATGACATGTTTTCTGGCTGATAAATGTACTAAAATGGGAATCAAATAGAAATGTCAACATTTTAAAATGGTGCCACAAAGATGGTTGGAGGTCCACACATCAGAGAATGTTGACTTATTGGGAATATCTGTTTTAAATTATACTGCCAATCCTCCATAGGAAACCTAATGAAATCATAGAAATATAAATAATAGAATAGACATGACCATTTTAAGTTGACATTCGACGGTGGGTGGACTGGCCACCATCTTTTGTGGTAGTAATTAGAAGTTAAGATGTACATTTACATTTCAATGGTGTACCAGCTAAATTGCAGTGGTCTGAGGTGATAGGTCCATTCTATTAATTATATTTCTATGACTGAAATTACACCAACCCTGTATTAACGAGCAGGTTGTGTCTCAACCGATGGTGGGCACAACACAAAATCCTCAGATGATGTGAAGCAGGGTCTAAGCTACAACATACAGTGGGGAAAAAAGTATTTAGTCAGCCACCAATTGTGCAAGTTCTCCCACTTAAAAAGATGAGAGAGGCCTGTAATTTTCATCATAGGTACACGTCAACTATGACAGACAAAATGAGAAAAAAAAATCCAGAAAATCACATTGTAGGATTTTTTTATGAATTTATCTGCAAATTATGGTGGAAAATAAGTATTTGGTCAATAACAAAAGTTTCTCAATACTTTGTTATATACCCTTTGTTGGCAATGACACAGGTCAAACGTTTTCTGTAAGTCTTCACAAGGTTTTCACACACTGTTGCTGGTATTTTGGCCCATTCCTCCATGCAGATCTCCTCTAGAGCAGTGATGTTTTGGGGCTGTCGCTGGGCAACACGGACTTTAAACTCCCTCCAAAGATTTTCTATGGGGTTGAGATCTGGAGACTGGCTAGGCCACTCCAGGACCTTGAAATGCTTCTTACGAAGACCCTCCTTCGTTGCCCGGGCGGTGTGTTTGGGATCATTGTCATGCTGAAAGACCCAGCTACGTTTCATCTTCAATGCCCTTGCTGATGGAAGGAGGTTTTCACTCAAAATCTCACGATACATGGCCCCATTCATTCTTTCCTTTACATGGATCAGTCGTCCTGGTCCCTTTGCAGAAAAACAGCCCCAAAGCATGATGTTTCCACCCCCATGCTTCACAGTAGGTATGGTGTTCTTTGGATGCAACAGCATTCTTTGTCCTCCAAACACGACGAGTTGAGTTTTTACCAAAAAGTTCTATTTTGGCTTCATCTGACCATATGACATTCTCCCAATCCTCTTCTGGATCATCCAAATGCACTCTAGCAAACTTCAGACGGGCCTGGACATGTACTGGCTTAAGCAGGGGGACACGTCTGGCACTGCAGGATTTGTGTCCCTGGCGGCGTAGTGTGTTACTGATGGTAGGCTTTGTTACTTTGGTCCCAGCTCTCTGCAGGTCAATCACTAGGTCCTCCGTGTGGTTCTGGGATTTTTGCTCACCGTTCTTGTGATCATTTTGACCCCACGGGGTGAGATCTTGCATGGAGCCCCAGATCGAGGGAGATTATCAGTGGTCTTGTATGTCTTCCATTTCCTAATAATTGCTCCCACAATTGATTTCTTCAAACCAAGCTGCTTACCTATTGCAGATTCAGTCTTCCCAGCCTGGTGCAGGTCTACAATTTTGTTTCTGGTGTCCTTTGACAGCTCTTTGGTCTTGGCCATAGTGGAGTTTGGAGTGTGACTGTTTGAGGTTGTGGACAGGTGTCTTTTATACTGATAACAAGTTCATACAGGTAACGAGTGGAGGACAGAGGAGCCTCTTAAAGAAGAAGTTACAGGTCTGTGAGAGCCAGAAATCTTGCTTGTTTGTAGGTGACCAAATACTTATTTTCCACCATAATTTGCAAATAAATTCATAAAAAATCCTACAATGTGATTTTCTGGATTTTTTTCTTCTCAATTTGTCTGTCATAGTTGACGTGTACCTATGATGAAAATTACAGGCCTCTCATCTTTTTAAGTGGGAGAACTTGCACAATTGGTGGCTGACTAAATACCTTTTTCCCACTGTATGCAAATTGATGTTAAAGGTAAAATGTCATTTTTATTTAAAAAAATATTTTAAAATTAAGACATTATAAAATAGTTTCACAACCCTGTTTGTAAGCTTTTAAATTATATCAAACTCAACAATGTATATTTTCCAGTAATGAAGACATGGATGTCTCATGGTATGGTGGGGTATTGCCAAATGGGTCAACTTTGAGCCATTCCCTTGAATGTTTTGGCATTCAGGTCCCAAAAGTAACTTTCTGACCACTTCTTACATGAGGAAACATTTATGGAAAGTTTTGTTTAAATCAAATGGGATGCTTTCAAAAAGTGATTGAATTCAAATGGATTTACCTTATGAACCCCATACCTGCCTCTAAAAATCTGAGAGACTTGTTCTCTTGGCTTTACAGTTCTTTGGTATTAAAGTGTCGGTGTGTCTGGCTGAAAGATAGTTCCTGGTTGCATTGCTCCGCCAGTGCATTAGTCTTGTCTGAAACACCTCTAAATCAAATCAAATCACATTTTATTGGTCACATACACATATTTAGCAGATGTTATTGTGGGTGTAGCAAAATGCTTGTGTTCCAGGCTCCAACAGTGCAGTAGTATCTAACAATACACAACAATACACACAAATATAAAAGTAATATAATGGAATTAAGAAATATATAAATATTAGGACGATCAGGGCAACATGTGATCAGGGCAACACATCGGCCCAGGAGGAAGGAAATTGCACTAGGCTCAAGGCCTATATTGAGAAAGTGTAATATTGATGTCAAGTAGAGATATGGCCTTGTGCTGTATAGGCTAGCAGTGTCTTACTTGTGCTTAGTATACTGCTTTAACCTTGCCTCGAGAACTGACTTAGAAAACGAAGTACATCAGGTGATGGTGTGGAATAACCTGTTTTCTAATTATGGCCCAAGGACAACAGCAGCGGAGGCGTTTTTTGAGTTAATTTAATAGGAAGCAGAGGAAATGGCTGCACGTGATGCTCTCAACTTGAAAAGGTTGTTCATCACAGACAGTACAGTAGCAGCATTCTGACAGTACAAGATGAAGGCTTTCTTCTTGAGTTAACCTACAAGTGCCTCAAATGGAGTCTTTGATAATGCAATTCATACTTTCACTATCAGATATTACAGGAAGGTTTATATTTGTAAACTGATTTAGAATGGGAGATTAAAAGGACATTAACACTGCATATATTTGAACATTTCCATATTTTCCTCATCAGATAAATAAATACTAAAAATACTAAAAAAACTAATACAATGTTTTCCTAAAAGTTTACGGTCTAGTAGTGCTGTCTAGACTGACCTCTAGTGTCAGTGCTCTGCAGATTAATGACTAGTCAGAAATGTCAGCTCCAGGGAGAAGTTCCCCTAGGTACAGATCTTCGGTACAGATCTAGGTTCAGCTTCCTCTCCCCTCTCCCAATCCTAACCTTAACCATTAGTGGGGATTGGGGAAAATGCTAAACTGACCCAAGATCAGTATCTAGGGGCAACTTCACCCTGCACCAAAATGTCAACCTTTTTAAAGCCTCAACAACACTGTGATCCAGACAGACACAGTGACACCTAGCATGAGACATCAACCAGGAATTTGACACAGTGTTTCAGCGTGGAACCTGTAAGCTATTTCAGTTAGTTTTTGTCAGCTTACTCTCATAACGATCGTCTGAAACAACTCAATGTCTCCATTCTGTTTAAAGCAAAACCTCTTGAATATTGGGCAATTTACAATCGCTTGATAATAAAGTGGACGAACTACAGGCACGAATATCCTACCAACAGGACATTCAAAACTGTAATATCTTATGTTTCACAGAGTCGTGGCTGAACGAAGACATGAATAACATACAGTTGGTGGGTTATACACTGTATCGGCAGGATAGAACGGCAGCCTCTGGTAAGACAAGGGGTGGTGGTCTATGTATATTTGTAAACAACAGCTGGTGCACGATATCTAAAGAAGTCTCAAGGTTTTGCTCGCCTGAGGTAGAGTATCTCATGATAAGCTGTAGACCACACTATCTACCAAGAGAGTTTTCATCTATATTCTTCGTAGCTGTCTATTTACCACCACAAACCGATGCTGGCACTAAGACCGCACTCAATGAACTGTATACAGCCACAAGCAAACAGGAAAACGCTCATCCAGAGGCGGCACTCCTAGTTGCCGGGGACTTTAATGCAGGGAAACTTAAATCTGTTTTACCTCATTTTTACCAGCATGTTAAATGTGCAACCAGAGGGAAAACAACTCTAGACCACCTTTACTCCACACACAGAGATGCGTACAAAGCTCTCCCTCGCCCTCCATTTGGCAAATCTGACCATAATTCTATCCTCCTGATTCCTGCTTACAAGCAAAAACTAAAGCAGGAAGCACCAGTGACTCGGTCAATAAAAAAGTGGTCAGATGAAGCAGATGCTAAGCTACAGGACTGGTTTGCTAGCACAGACTGGAATATGTTCCGGGATTCTTCCGATGGCATTGAGGATTACACCACATCAGTCACTGGCTTCATCAATAAGTGCATCGATGACGCCATCCCAACAGTGACTGTACGTACATACCCCAACCAGAAGCCATGGATTACAGGCAACATCCGCACTGAGCTAAAGGGTAGAGCTTCCGCTTTCAAGGAGCGGGACTCTAACCCGGACGCTTATAAGAAATCCATCTATGCCCTTCGACGAACCATCAAACAGGCAAAGCGTCAATACAGGACTAAGATCGAATCGTACTACACCGGCTCCGACGCTGGTCGGTTGTGGCAGGGCTTGCAAACTATTACAGACTACGAAGGGAAGCACAGCCGCGAGCTGCCCAGTGACACAAGCCTACCAGACGAGCTAAATTACTTCTATGCTTGCATCGAGGCAAGTAACACTGAAACATGCATTAGAGCATCAGCTGTTCCGGACGACTGTGTGATCACGCTCTCCGTAGCCGATGTGAGTAAGACCTTTTAAACAGGTCAACATTCACAAGGCTGCAGGGCCAGACGGATTACCAGGACGTGTACTCCGAGCATGCGCTGACCAACTGGCAAGTGTCTTCACTGACATTTTCAACCTCTCCCTGTCTGAGTCTGTAATACCAACATGTTTCAAGCAGAACACCATTGTCCCTGTGCCCAAGAACGCTAAGGTAACCTGCCTAAATGACTACCGACCCGTAGCACTCACATCTGTAGCCATGAAGTGCTTTGAAAGGCTGGTCATGGCTCACATCAACACCATTATCCCAGAAACCCTAGACCCACTCCAATTTGCATACCACCCCAACAGATCCACAGATGATGCAATCTCTATTGCGCTCCACACTGCCCTTTCACACCTGGACAAAAAGAACACCTATGTGAGAATGCTATTCATTGACAACAGCGCAGCGTTCAACACCATAGTGCCCTCAAAGCTCATCACTAAGCTAAGGACCCTGGGACTGCAACTGGATCCTGGACTTCCTGACGGGCTGCCCCCAGGTGGTAAGGGTAGGTAACAACACATCCGTCACGCTGATCCTCAACACGGGGGCCCCTGAGGGGTGCGTGCTCAGTCCCCTCCTGTACTCCTTGTTCATTCATGACTGCATGGCCAGGCACGACTCCAACATCATCATTAAGTTTTCTGTTGACACAACAGTGGTAGACCTGATCACCGACAACGACGAGACAGTCTATAGGGAGGAGGTCAGAGACCTGGCCGTGTGGTGCCAGGATAACAACCTCTCCCTCAACGTGATCAAGATAAAGGAGATGATTGTGGACTACAGGAAAAAGAGGAGGACTGAGCACGCCCCCATTCTCATCGACGGGCTGTAGTGGAGCAGGTTGAGAGCTTCAAGTTCCTTGGTGTCCACATCACCAACAAACTAACATGGTCCAAGCACACCAAGACAGTCCTGAAGAGGGCACAACAAAACCTATTCCCCCTAAGGAGACTGAAAAGATTTGGCATGGGTCCTCAGATCCTCAAAAGATTCTACAGCTGCACCTTTGAGAGCATCCTGACTGATTGCATCACTGCCTGGTATGGCAACTGCTCGGCCTCCGACCGCAAGGCACTACAGAGGGTAGTGCGTACAGCCCAGTACATCACTGGGGCCAAGCTTCCTGCCATCCAGGACCTCTATACCAGGTGGTATCAGAGGAAGGCCCTAAAAATTGTCAAAGACTCCAGCCACCCTAGTCATAGACTGTTCTCTCTGCTACCGCACGGCAAGCGGTACCGGAGCGCCAAGTTTAGGTCCAAGTGGCTTCTTAACATCTTCTACCCCCAAGCCATAAGACTCCTGAACATCTAATCAAATGGCTACCCAGACTATTTGCATTGCCCCCCCCCCTTACGCTGCTGCTACTCTCTGTTTATTATCTATGCATAGTCACTTGAATAACTCTACCTACATGTACATATTACCTCAATTACCTTGACTAACCGGTGCCCCCGCACATTGACTCGGTACCGGTACCCCCTGTATATAGCCTCACTATTGTTATTTTTAATGCTGCTCTTTAATTATTTGTTACTTTGATGTAGCCTGGTGAGTGTGGTGAAGGTGCTGCTCGTTGTTGGGATCAGGTGACCTGTTGTCATGTGTTCTCCCGAGTGGCGCAGTGGTCTAAGGCACTGCATCGTAGTGCTAGCTCTGCCACTAGAGATCCTGGTTCGAATCCAGGCTCTGTCGTAGCTGGCCGTGACCGGGAGACCCATGGGGCAGCACACAATTGGCCCAGCGTCGTCCAGGGTAGGGGAGGGAATGGCCGGCAGGGATGTAGCTCAGTTGGTAGAGCATGGCGTTTGCAACGCCAGGGTTGTGGGTTCGTTTCCCACGGGGGGCCAGTATGGAAAAAAAAAAAAATGATGTGTGCACTCACTAACTGTAAGTCGCTCTGGATAAGAGCGTCTGCTAAATGACTAAAATGTAACTGTAAAATGTAAATGTGTCAGAATTCCACATAATTGGTGACTCATTATTATGATTGTGTTTGTTACTCTGCTGAACAGTATATCTCTCTCTTCCCCCCCTTCCTCCAGTCAGGGCAGTTCAGTGAGGACATGATTCCTACAGTGGGCTTCAACATGAGGAAGATCACCAAGGGCAATGTCACCATTAAGGTCAGAGCATCAGACTTGATGATGAGTGCACACTCAATGTTTTGATAATGAGCTGCACTTATCCTTGGTACTCATGCTGATAGTATTGCTGATCATGTGTGTCTGTCTGTTTGTACGCCTACCTTTTGAGACTGAAGTGGTGTGTGTGTTTGTTCTGTCGTTCTCCAGCTGTGGGATATTGGGGGTCAGCCTCGATTCCGGAGCATGTGGGAGAGATACTGCCGAGGTGTCAGTGCCATTGTGTAAGTACATGCACACACTTGGGCTGGGAATTGCCAGGGACCACACAACACGATATTATCACGATACTTAGGTGCCGATACGATATGTATTGCAATTCTCACGATTCTATATGTATTGCGATCGGATACTGTAATTCTGTTGCGATTCGATGTTCTAAACATATTGCTCACCATGTGTCTCTCTTTTCTCTCCTCTCTCTCAGTTACATGGTAGATGCTGCAGACCCAGAGAAGATTGAGGCCTCGAAGAACGAATTACACAACCTCCTAGACAAACCCCAGCTACAGGGGATCCCAGTGAGTACAATTATGTTGCTATCGGTGTGTTGTGAGTGTTGATGTTACGGAAGAGGTAGATATGAGTGGAGGTATTGGACATCAGAGGCTCACCCTGAGCTGAGCTGTAGACTCATGGTGGTGTGTGGCATCTGTCACATCCCTACAACCCCCTCCCCAACACACACACACACACACACACACACACAAACTATCTCTCTCCTCTCTCTGTAGCCCAGACATGAATAATGAATGTGTGTCTGAGTGATGTGGGTCTGATTTATCGAACCAAAGGGAGGGACAGATGGAGGGGAGAGGGAGGAAAAGACAGACAGAAAGAGAAGGGAGGGAAAGTTTGATGGTAAGAGAGACATAAGTAGAGGGGGAGTAAGGAGGTAGAGAAAGAAAGGTTTAAGAGAGACAGGGGAGAGAGGAATGGAGAGAGAGAGAACCAGTGGGCGGTGCTTGAGCATTGCAGATGCTTCATGTTTTACTAGCATCTCCAAGGCTAGTGCCGTAGAATTGCTGGAAAGATGGATGGAGGGAGGGAGGGAGGGAGGGGAGTGTGTGTGTGTGTCTGTCTGGGTCCAGACGTGTAGTGACTGGGGGGAAGACCATTAGCAGGCCTGTGCAGTGCAGTGAGATCCATACAGGATGATCCTCAGAGTAATGTTAGGGGAGAGGAGAGGTATCCTCCTTACGACTCTAAACACATATCACTGCTCTCATTGAGATGATGATAGGAGACTAACACACAGGGAATGGATGGCAGGAGTAGCATTAACATACTGTCACCCTAACTACAGATGCTACTGCTGACCAGTGTGAAGATATGTTTATTTAAGGCAGTGTGGAGTGTGGCTGTCAACCATTTTAAATGAGAGAGGGAAGATGAGTAACGCAGTTTGTCTGACACTAGCTAGCTACTTCCCCACTCACAGCAATTCTCATGAACTGCCTTTGTTTCTCCACTCTAACAGATATTGGCCTTCAACAGTAATGATCACCTCTAGTTAGTGTGTTATAAAGCCTGTGGAATGTAAAGTTGAAATGGAATGGGTTTGCAGGAGAAAAGCCTACAGGCAGGTACATTGGCAAAGACAACACTCATGTGGTTTCCCTTGGACTCTCTCAGGTACTGGTTTTAGGGAACAAAAGAGATGTTCCAGGTGCCTTGGATGAGAAGGAGCTGATTGAGAGGATGTGAGTACGGGCGCTCTGATGTTTCCTTTTGTAAATGAAGCTGACCGTGTGTGTGGAGTTTTCCTCTCTATAACACTGCCCTCTATGCCTCACTTAGGAACCTGTCAGCCATCCAGGACAGAGAGATCTGCTGTTACTCTATCTCCTGTAAGGAAAAAGACAATATTGGTGAGAAAACAAATGGTCAATTCAAAACTACCTAATTACCTGAGAATTACTTTTTGTTTCTTTTGAGTATCTGAAACAAATTGACTTTATATCCTCTGGCAGACATCACACTACAGTGGCTGATCCAGCATTCCAGAACCAGGAAGACAACAACATGAGGGCTCAACTCCCTGGACGACCCCGTCTCCCCTTCCTCCCCCTCCAGGACCTCTACCCTAAGACCAACCCTACCCCTCCTTCTCTCTTCCTCTTCTCCTCCCTTCTCTTATCACCCTGGTTCCATTTCCAGCCCCTTCCTTTATCTCCTACACCTTTGGGTGTTAACAGATCTGAGAGGGTTGGATAGGTGTGAGCAATATGTCAGAATATGGACCCATCATCACAATGCTTATACAAATCAAATCAAATGTATACATATCTAATATTTTCAGATCTGTGAACATGGAATAGATAGAGACTAGGAGAAGGGGCTGTCCTCTCATTCTCAGCTCTCCTTTCTTCTTACCCATCTGTGATCCCTATATTTTACTCTTTAAAAACAGCCCTTCCTCCTCTCTACCTGATTCCGTTCTTGTAAAGAGTGTGTGAAAAACTATGATTTGCACTGTTTAAATTGTTTTGTATTCTACCTATATGCATTTTTTACACCATGTACTTCAGACTGGATAAAGTGGACTCTTGACAGTCACCCATCGAGCAACTCTTGTTTTCATTGACTGTTATAGATTTGTTTCTTTTTTAAATATATATGTACTATATTTGTACAGTGTGGGTCTGATTTTGATGAGGTTTTGGACAAGGAGGTAATCTATTTTCTCTTGCTTAAATGAATAATGTGTTGTTCAAAGTGCAAACTACTCACACACACTCACTCACTCTTGTCTACTAACCTGCAGCTTCACAGCTGTTCCCATAGCAACGTGGTTGCCATTTTGTCTCTTCACCTGATCAGGTGACAAGCTCTGACCAATGATTTGATATTTTATTGAACACAGTCATTTCTCATTTCTCTTGCATGTTACCTAACTGAAAGGAAATGCATTCCGCTTCAATATGAAAGACATATATAGAGGTCAGCTCACAAGTTTGCAAGACATCACAGAGAATTGTTCCATACTGATGCAACAGAAATCAATAATGTTTTATACAGGTTTGATATCCTTAACAATAAGTAAAACAATTTGATGGTCATCTTATCCAAACAAACATATTATTCACCTTAATGCTGCTCTATTTGAACATATTTTCTCATATCAGAGTCAGTCTGTTTTTCGTTTGGAATTGAAACAATGTTATATACGATTGATATCGTGTTATTTGGGGTAGATTTGGACGCTGATTTGAGTTGTACATATTCTTATCAATATCAGTTTAAACTATAATTGCAACCTTTTACTTGAACCTTCCTTTAGAAGGCCTACATGACCATGTCAAACAGTCATGTTTGCTTATGGCAACTGATGGAATTGGAGAGGGTTGATGGAGGGGTCAAGGAAAGTGTAACCATTGCAACCTTCGAAGAGTTTCTCAGATACTTTAGCTAGCTATTCCTAATGTTATTTAATGATATTTGAAGATGACAACTGCAACTAATTGGCTATTTCTATGTCACCTGACATTAGCATGCATTGACATTCACAAGCCATCTCATATAACAATGTTTAATATTCATAAGGCCATATTTATTAACTATGTTAGTGTTAGGTTTTCTTTGTTTTTATGTTTGAACTTTGAACATAACCACGAAAAAGATGCAGTACTAAAATCATGTTCTAAACATATCTCATGGAGCACAGAGATTATGTAAAGCACACAATAACCAACTTGTTTGTTTTGTTTTCAGCAGGTTTTGTCTGATAATTCACTCCCTAAATATGAATCAAGCCATTGACTCCTCTATAATTCCTCCCTGTTGGATTTTGAGTTTTCAGCTTCGCCTTTAGTGTAGTGTCATGCAGCTGTAGGGTGCCTCCCAGTAGTCTACAGTGGCTTCCTCTTCTTTTTATCCTTTCCTCCTTTCCTTCATCCGCACAGACATGACAGAACTACATATTGCTTACACACATGCTGTCTTTTCAGATCAGTGCAGATGAGGGAGAGGAGATGAGTAGAGGAAGCCCCTTCAGAATATTGAGATGCAACCTCCTAGTTCCATCATTCATTTCAACACCACTCCATTGACGTATTGCTATTTGTTATTTTAAGTTGAATGTTTGTACCTGACAGAATGTACAATGAGTGAATTGGCTTGATGCCCGCAAAGTAAAAATGGTCTTGTCTCTAAAATGAAGTGAAAGGTGTACTTTGTTCTACAATGCACCTGCCATACTACCCTGCTGCTACAGTAACAGACAGTGATGTGTTTCAGTGTTATTGGTTGACAGTGAAGGACCAGCTTCGTCTTATTCCTCTGCCTGAAAACAGGAGTCTTTTGCCTAATGCTGAACAGGCCTGGGCCCAGTTTCACAAAAGCGATGGAATTTAGGCTTACGAGTGTTTTAACTTTGCATCTTTCCTACAACGGCTAAACACCGCGCTGAGAGAATGATTGATAAGTGCGTGGTTGGAGCATGTGTCAATACAGATAGGATTAAAAGAAAGGGAGCACTGTTTTTGGATCAGCTTTCTCCATTCAAATCTTACCTTGACATTAGAATTATTTCACAATACTGACGACGAATCAGCTCCAAGAAAGATATTACCACCTACGGCTTATGCTAATGCTTAGGCTACCCAATAAAAATGCATTATGCACGTAAGGTTACACATCATGAGATACACTGAACAAAAATAAAATGCAACATGTAGAGTGTTGGTCACATATTTCATGAGCTGAAATAAAATATCCCAGAAATGTTCCATACGCACAAAACCCTTATTTCTCTCAGGATCTCTGTTAGTGAGCATTTCTCCTTTGCCAAGATAATCCATCCACCTGACAGGTGTGGCATATCAAGAAGCTGATTAAACAGCATGATCATTGCACAGGTGCACCTTATACTGGGGACAGTAAAAGGACACTAAAATGTGCAGTTTTGTCACACAACACAATGCCACAGATGTCTCAAGTTTTGAGGGAGCGTGCAATTGGCATGCTGATTGCAGGAATGTCCACCAGAGCTGTTGCCAGAACATGTATTCTTAATTTCTCTACCATAAGCCACCTCCAACGTTGTTTTAGAGAATTTGGCACTACGTCCAACCGGCCTCACATCAGCAGACCACGTGTAACCACGGCAGTCCAGGACCTCCACATCCGGCTTCTTCACCTGCGGGATCGTCTGAGACCAGCCACTCGGACAGCTGATGAAACTGTGGGTTTGCACAACTGAAGAATACCTGCACAAACTGTCAGAAACCGTCTCAGGGAAGCTCATCTGCGTGGTCGTTGTCCTCAGCAGGGTCTTGACCTGACTGCAGTTCGGCATCATAACCGACTTCAGTGGGCAAATGCTCACCTTTGATGGCCGCTGGCACGCTGGAGAAGTGTGCTCTTCACGGATTAATCTCGGTTTCAACTGTACAGAGCAGATGGCATTGTGTGGGCGAGCGGTTTGCTGATGTCAATGTTGTGAACAGAGTGCCCCATGGTGGGGTTATGGTATGGGCAGGCATAAGCTACTACGGACAACAAACACAATTGCATTTTATCGATGGCAATTTGAATGCACAGAGATACTGTGACGAGATCCTGAGGCCCATTGTTGTGCCATTCATCCGCCGCCATCACCTCATATTTCAGCATGATAATGCACAGCCCCATGTTGCAAGGATCTGTACACAATTCCTGGAAGCTGAAAATGTCCCAGTTCTTCCATGGCCTGCATACTCACTAGACATGTCACCCATTGAGCAATTTTGGGATGCTCTGGATCGACGTGTACGACAGCGTGTTCCAGTTCCCGCCAATATCCAGTAACTTCGCACAGCCATTGAAGAGGAGTGGGACAACATTCCACAGGCCACAATCAACAGCCTGATCAACTCTATGCGAAGGAGATGTGTCGCGCTTCATGAGGCAAATGGTGGTCACACCAGGTACTGACTGGTTTTCTGATCCACGCCCCTACCTTTTTTTAAAGGTATCTGTGACCAACAGATGCATATCTGTATTCCCAGTAATGTGAAATTCATAGATTAGGGCCTAATGAATGTATTTCAATGTTATACGTCACTTGTTTGTATCAATTGAAAAGCCATTGGCAACTTTGTATTTGTAGTTAACTTTGTTCTGAAGTTATCGGCAGTCACAGAGAGACGGATCAACCATATGATTCTATGTTTAGCATAGATCTTCTGTGTATAAAGTGACGCGGGAGGACAAAAAAGCATCTAACGAGGCACTTAGCTGTTCTACGAGTGGTCTGAGGCAGGCGTTAGATTATGAGCGTTTCAACAACCAACTACAACGTTAATAATGATTGGTTTTGGGAAACATGTCTGAGATTTAACGATGCTCCCATGAATGTTCTAAAGATGAACTTAGCCTTAAGATGCTTTTGGGAAACTGGGCTCTGGTTGTGTTGGGTTGATGATATGAGTCAGGTTTGGGGTCAATTCCATTTCAATTCAGGAAGTTAACCAAATTCCAATTCCAAATTGTACTAATTGAAAAGCATTGAGGAGAATTGGAATATGAATTTCAGTGTACTTCCTAAACTTTCTGGAATTAAAATGGAATTGACCCCAACCCTGTCTCATATCATTCCTGTCTGCTGGAATTAACTCTGCCTTTATTTAGTCTATTCTGTATTTTCTAAAATTAATTTCTGGTTAATGTTTATAATACACCTGACAATGCTTTTTGGGAGAATATGCATATTCCTCATGAATTGGAATCAGTACTAAGAAACATAACTCTATGTATTAAGTGTTTGTAATACTTTAAGATGGGATGTTGTACATAGCCGCTTTAAACCAAAACAACTCTCCTGAATATCAGGCCTGAAGAATACGATCATTCTTTTAATGCAAAAATACAAACACTTTTCTTACAGCAGCTGTCTGGGACCACAATAATCTGTTATGATAGCTGTTATGTCATCATTGTGACATTGTTACAAAGGCATTATGATAAAGTGTATGTCATTTTTAGTAGGTGAGATGATGGGTTGTCTCTGTGTCTGTCTTCTGTGAGTGAACTTGTGATTTTTGATGAGTGGATGGTGTATCTTTCTCAGTTGCTAGTACATCTGAAATACTGCTGCCGTTGAGAAGCACAAAACTGTTTGTTTCCCCTCTCTCTTTCTTAATACATAATATACATGTATTAATACACAATATAAATGAAACCAAACAGACCAATTCACAAATAAAAGACCAATAAGGCTACATTAACACATTGAATATATAATCTCATATTGTTACATATTAAAATATTCCCATCATGGTTCATGAATCTCTCTGCAGCACCAGTAAACTACAGTAAACCTTGTGAACCACGGTAAAGCAATCTTTACTCCATGCTCCCAGCATAAGAAGGAGAGAGTGATTCATCTAACTCTGGAACCCGACCTCCAACCTGCTGTTTGTGGAACCACGCTCCTAAGGACAAAATACATGGTTAGCCAGTCGAACTAAAGGCCAGTGTGAATCTACAAAAAAACATCTACAGTGCATTCAGAAAGTATTCAGGCCCCTTCCCTTTTCCACATTTTGTTACATTACAGCCTTATTCTAAAATAGATTAAATAACATTTTTTCCTCATCAATCTACACACAATACCCCATAATGACAAAGCAAAAACATGTTTTTAGACATTTTAAAAAATTGATTTAAAATAAAAAACTGAAATACCTTATTTACAGAAGTATTCAGACCCTTTGCTATGAGACTCGAAATTGAGCATTGTGCATCCTGTTTCCATTGATCATCCTTGAGATGTTTCTACAACTTAGTAAATGGCATTAGAGCTTGGAGCTTGGCGTCGGGTAAGTTTGGCTTTATACATAGCTTGGGCTTTGTCGAGTAAGGCTTAAACTATGTATTTAGATTGTAGTTAGGTTTTGTAGGTAGGTATCGTGGGTTGTTGTAGGTAGTTGTAGGTAGTTATTGTATGTAATTATTGTAGGTTAGTATTGTATTCGGCGGTGCCGGGTGTAGCACGAAGCTAGCTAGCAAGCTAACTCACCACCTGGACTAGCTGGCGAGTAGCTATTAGCAACGGTATAGTTGTTTCACGCCTGAGAGTGCCTGTAATTACGCCAGCTGGCTGCCTACAATAATTACATACAATAATTGCCTACCATTCAGCTGTTTTCTAACCTCATTGTCTGAACCGTTAACGTTAGGCAGCAAGTGGCTACTGTGCTTGAAAATTAGCAAGCTTGTTGCAACCTGGATAGCTACTTGTACACAATAGCTGGAACGACTGAGCGAACAGACGCGAACTGGCTGAGTCAATTCAGTGGCTAGCTTTGCACTTGGCTAGCTAACAGTAGCTGCTAGGGGTAAGTCATAACCTACACTTGTGTTTTGTTTTTTACATATTGATAGCCCGAGTCGCTCAAGGAATTCGGGACATGGGTGACTAGTTAACGTTAGTTTGGCTCTCTCTGTGTGTTCGTGCCGTGAAAGGAGGGGTTCTTCTTTGTCTGAAAGCAATGGCTAGCTAGTTTGCTAACTATTCTAGCTAACTAACTGGCTGAATAAGTTGACGACGGACTCGCTCAAGCTGTCGGGACTAACCCACAACGTTAGACACGGACACGAACGATCTGCTTGTGTGTTGATACACTGGTGGTTGTTGTGGCTGAGTATTGGCGCTAAACCCTGCTGTTGGAGACTGGCATGCTAGCTGGCTGTGGCGTCTTATGACGAGGTGCCCGGACGTTTTTCACGGAATAATACTGCACCTAGTTAGCTAGCTGAATAAACTAGGTTAGTCTATTCATAGAAAACATTGAACCGCTGTAGTTTACAACAAGTATAGTTTCTGAGGTGGAAGTTGGGAGAGTTATATTTGGGAGTTGTGGTGAGGGAGGCCCCGCTCTCTCCTTTCCCAGATGTTTAGTTCATTTTATTCCGATCTCCTCTGCATTATTGTAGCCATCTGCTGCAGCCTGTCAACTATGCCTCTGCCTATCCCTGTTCTCTCCTCTCCGCACAGGCTACACAAACGCCTCACACCGCGTGGCTGCTGCCTCTCTAACCTGGTGGTCCCAGCACGCACGACCCACGTGGAGTTCCAGGTCTCAGGCAGCCTCTGGAACTGCCGTTCTGCTGCCAACAAGGCAGACTTCATCCCAGCCTATGCTACCCTCCAGTCCCTCGACTTCTTGGCGCTGACGGAAACATGGATTACCACTGAAAACACTGCTACTCCTGCTGCTCTCTCCTCGTCTGACCATGTGTTCTCGCATACCCCGAGAGCATCTGGTCAGCGGGGTGGTGGCACAGGA